CATCCCCTAAAGCAGCCCACTTCCCTGGATGAAGGTCACCCCCGAGGATTTGCTGCCCCAAAGTTGTCTGGGGAGCCCAGCACCCCACCAAGGGTGTCCTGTCAAGGGATGTTGCAGCTATTGCAACTCCCAGCTCTCCAAGAATCGCCAAAAAAAACAGAGGAAAACCCCTACATCCGCTCACCTGCAGCCCAGAAAGCTGTGGATGTCCACCTGCCCTGTGGGGGTCTGGGACCACCCAGCATCCTCCCCCAGGCTTGGCTCCATCACTCTCTCCTCCCAGCCCCAAGGAGGGATGGGTGGGAGATGGGGGTCCTGAGCTTTCCCACTGCCACACCGCAGCCCATGGCAGCAGGCACCCGGGGCTACACTGGGGGAGGGAGGGAATGGGGGCCAGGAAGCTGGGGGACAACACCCACAGCCCCCACCCATACCAGCACACAAACCTTTACCCCACCTGTGCTGGGTGCCTGACTCCCCTCACCTTACCTCAGCTTCCTCAGGACTCTCCTCCAACATCACCCCTGGTCTGCCCTGGGGGGGCTCACATCTGTGCCAACAGCACCCAAAGGTGCTGAGCAAGCCAGGGCACCCCGGAAACCCAGGGCTGGGTGTGCACCGCCCCAGTCCCTCATTATGGCTCAGGTTGAAACTATGCCTGGCGCGGGGGCTGGTAACCAATGTGCTGGGACAGGATGCTCCATGCACCGCACCTCCCCAATCCTCGGGAGTCCCCTCCCTCAGCTCCAGGGTGCCCCCAGTCACAGGAGTAGCAGCACTCAAATTTCTGCTTTAATAAAAGTAGGAAGGAGGGAAACAAAAAATTTAAAAAAAAAAAAAAAGAAAAACAGAAAAAAGGGATTGGACCAAGGTCTGTCTGTGGACTCGTGCTACCACAGCAACGACTGGCCAGGTCACAGTATTTGCTGCCTGCAGCCCAGAGGACATGGGAGTGGCTGCCTCCCCCAGCCCAGTAGAGCAAGGCAGGGCAGCTCCCCTTGGTATTTTACTGCTGGTGATGTCCCCTGGAGAAAGGGGCTGGAGGAGACCCTGAGAGTCAGGCATTTGCAAAGCACCATGTCGTATTCATGAGTGGTGCTGCCATGAGGCGTCAGCTCCCACTCTCACTCCACATTCCACAGAGAATGCACAGCTGTGGGGCAAGAGCCATCCACAATCTCCCATGCTTCCCTCCAACACTTTCCGCATCCCAGCCAGCACTGATCTCAAAGACCTCTACTCATGACAGGGGGGCTCCTGCCATGTGTTCCTCTGCACAGCTCTCCCCACACAGTCCCTCCCACCAGTGACAGCCCATGACTTCAGCTCCACTTTAGCCACAATTTAACAACCAGTCCCAGGTCCACAGATCCTGAAGTCCCAGAGCTTCAGGTTACTCCCCCATCACTCAGCCTGCGATGACTCTGCTCCCTTCCCCATCCTCCCAGAAGTCAGCACCAGTACAGAGCAACCAGCATCTGTCAAAGCACCCTCCCCTGTCTGCTCTTCTCTGGGACGAGCCCACTCCTCCTCTCGTGGTGGCCCCATATCTGAGACACTGTGCTGGTAGCCAGGAGGCTTGCTCATGCAGGAGGAGAAAGGGCCACAGCAGCAGGTAGCTACTGCTCCCAGGAGAGGGGTTGGCGTACACCAGCCCCATGCTCCCAGCACCAGTCCCTGTCCCTCCTGACAGACTGAGGAAGAGACCTGCCAGGTTCACGGCTTCTTGGAAGCTCCCGAGCCTCCCTCCGGAACTTTCTTGGCTAAAAGCGCCTTCTCCTCCTTCATCTTCTTCAGCTTGACCTTGCTTCTGCCGGCAGACGAGAAGGTGAGCGAGGCCTTGCTGAACTCCAGGGGGAAGATGCCCACGTCCCCATCAAAGCGGTTCTTGGACACCTGCAGGTAGCGCTTCCCTGGCCCTGTCATCAGCTTGCGGTCCTGCAGGATGAGGACGTTGTCGGCCTCCTGGCTGGCCTGGGGGGAGGAAAACATCTCCAGGAGGTTGCTGGGGATGCAGCCAGAGTCACAGGGCTTGGAGGTGCTCACAGGCTGCCTGCCTGGCTCCTCTGAGCCCTGTTATGGGGCATCCCAGGCCATTGCGACTCCAGCACCTCCCAACACCAACCTCTCGTCTTTCCCTGGGACACCCCAGTGACCAGCTGGGCAGACAGGTTCGAGCTGGAGCCACAGTCATGTTCTAGGGAAAGGAGGGAGCACAGGAGGGCTGCGCACATTCACAGAGAACCTCCTGCCCACCACTGCAGGGTTGTTCAGCATCATGGCAGAGACTGGAGTCCCCAGAGAGCCCATTCCTGCACCCTCCCCGGGTCCTTCTTTAATTATCTCATAGTACATCCCACTCACAGTCAACCAGCATTAATTAAGTGCACCTAAAGCCCCAACAGAGCTTTAGCTGGCAATGGGTTTGCTCCCTGTCTGCATTTCTCTACCAAGGCCTGGCCAAACCAGGAGTCCTGAGGACATGCTGCACCTCTCATGTCCCCAGCAATGACTCAGGGCGCTGGTGGAAGCTGGACACAGCCACCCAATGCATCCCAGCCCCTTTCTGGGAACACGCTGTGCTCGAGGGACAGGAAGGGCCAACCCAGCCCCGCTCACCTTGGCAGAGCCGAAGATGGAGGCCGTCTGCAGCTCCTTCTCGTCGTCCTCCTTGCGGGGATGGATGACCAGCGTGATGTGGCAGGTGTTGTCAGTGGCAAACTTCCGGAAGGCACCTACAATGTAGTCCTGGGCAGCGAGCCTGCAACAACGAGGACAGGGTCAGGCACTGCTCAGGGTGGGGGGGTGGCAAGGTGATGCCAGGTTCAGCCCCACAGCAGGAAGCACCGAGGGGTGTGGGCTCACCTTGTGGGGCAGCTGAGCCCACGTGGGCAAAGGGATGGGGCACAACCTTTACCGGATCACAGGTAACCAGCTCACCTTTTCCCAGGGCAGTCATCGCCCTTCAATGCAACAGGGCTGCCAGACAGGTGTAAGGGGACATCCCCTGCCATGACACCCGACAGGGACAGTTTCAGCGACGAGGGTGGCAGAGGAAGAGAAGGGGAGAAGGGCTACCTGTCCACAGAGAGGTGCTCGTGTCCCATCATGAACTGGAGGTTGTCAACGACCACATGGGTGATGTCGTACATGTAGACGGCATGCTGCATGGTGTCAATCACTGTCCTGGGCAGGGGGGAGACCAGCATCAGCCAAGATCAGCCATGGGGATGAGTGGAGGTGGCAATGGGGATGCTGGGCCAGGCAGAGGGACGAGGAGAGGCAGAGTGGGGAGGCAGCAGGCTGGTGCTGATGGCAGCTGGCTGCTGACCACCATGTCCAACCTCCACTCCTCCACCACTGCAGGAGGGAGGCAGACCCCTCCCCACAGATAAGGGCAACTGGAACAGGAGGACCCAGCCTCTGCCCACAATCCTGCAACCCCCCCCAGCCCACGGTGACTCTCAGGTCCTCCCTCTTCAGCAAACAAGGCTGCCAGATGAGCAGGCGTGGGGGGACACATCCTGCCAGAGACAGAGGCTGGTTTTGGAGTGGCCACCTAGCTCAGGAACAGGTGCCCTCCCTTCATGGTCACCCCAGAAAAAGACTGTCACAGCCTCTGTGGCCAGTTGAGCCACACAGTCACCATATGCCAATTCCAGGAGCTGACCAGCCCCAGCATGCCTGCCGGCCCCAAAATCACTGCAGGAGAAGAGCCCCAACTCCCCAGGGCCACACAGCACATGCCATGAGGGGTAAGTGGCACCAGGGACAAAAGTGTGGGACCATACTTGATGTTCTGCTGCCCATGAAAGGTCATGAAGTAGAGCGGGAGGTCCTCGAAGCGGTCGGCCCACTCGTCGTACAGCTCCAGCTGGTCTTCCAGGCGCCGGGTGGCAAACTGCGTCAGCATGATCTTGGCCAAGCGGACATTATTGATCTCAAAGCTGCCCCACAGCGTGCACACCCCCTGCATGCACAGGTCCAGTGCATATTCGCTGATAAAGGTCGTCTTCCCGCTGCCTGTCGGGCCTGGCACAAGGATGAAATGAAGAATTAGCTGGGGGAGATCTGACCCATCCTGAACACACCGGGGGGCTGTTTAGAGGTGGAAGCTCCAGGGAGCGGCCTAAGAGCGGCCCACCCACAGCACTCCCACCATAAACAAGCAGCTTCTCATGCCAGGCTGAGTGTCTGGCCACATGCGTGTCACCTCCAGCAGCCAGCGTGTCCCCACAGGGTGCAGGGAAGGGCTGGGGAGCCGGTGGGGGGCCCCGAAAAG